TATTGTTGCCAACCTGTACATGGAGGAGGTAGAAAAGAGAGCCTTGATGTCCTTTTCAGGGACACCACCAAGTCATTGGTTCAGGTATGTTGATGACACATGGGTTAAAATTAAATCTCAGGAAGTCCAACATTTTACTGACCACATCAACTCTGTGGATAAATACATCAAGTTCACAAGAGAAGATGTAAAAAATGGCAGGTTGGCTTTCTTGGACTGTGAGGTCTCAGTCTCTGATAGAGGACATTTGCAAACTGAGGTGTACCACAAACCAATCCATACAGACCAGTATTTGCAGTTTGACTCCCATCACCCTTTGGAGCACAAGTTAGGAGTCATCAGGACTCTGTATCACAGAGCAGACAGCGTCCCCACTAACTCAGGAGCCAGGCAGAAGGAGAAATCCTACACAAGACAGGCTCTAGAGCAATGTGGATATCCTAACTGGGCCTTCCTGAAAGCAGAGAAGAAACCCAAACAGGACTCCAGTCAGCCAACAGGTGAAAAGGAGGAACCCAGACCCAGACCAGTGGTCATTCCATATGTTGAAGGAGTATCAGAGAAACTGAGACGTTTATTTTCTAAACATAACATCCCAGTGGCTTTTAAACCCCAAAATACATTACGACTGTCGTGGCTGGATACCACGTCGTGTTCAAAACAGCTGAGACATCGCCCTCGGTATAAAAGATTTATTTGACAAACAGGGGTTACAGATATTCAGAGACAAACAATTACACTAATAAGATATATGCATATAAATGGAGCATTAAAGAACGAACCGTCTCGGTGTGCGCCTCCCGGAAATGCTCGGTGGGCGTGTGTCATTTCCGGCCTTTTATCACAGTTTGAGAAGGCTAGCTTTCTGATTGGTTTAGCTTCTGTTGCTATGGTTACGACTCTAGCCCGCCCCCTCAAGGACGTTAATGTCTACATTTCAGATAAGAAGTTTTGGCTCACTGAAATCGGTTCTTTGTTTAAAGTTTAACTTGCTATTATACTTTAGGGATACAAAATGATTCGTGTCGATAATAACTATTAATTATTACCTACCTCATGGGTATGTGTTAATCAATGTCTGTTGAAGGCCTGGTGATTCTCTGCTTTAAGGCAGATACATCTTGGTTTCCTTGTCTGCGTTTAAACTGTTAACACTCTGTTTGTTTAACGTGATTATACCTTAGTGATACCAAATGATTTGAGATAAAGTTGTTTATTTCTAGGAATAATTAATAACTTAATTATTATCCAACTCATGTTTGCGTGTTCTTACTTGCTTTATTTATGTTAATCAGTCTGCTATCTGGCATGATTTGATTGCTTGTAATATATCAAATGTGAACTTGTAAAATTATCCTTAGCTAATATGAGATTATATTTAAAGGTCAACTAGTTAGAATTAGCAAACATTTTCTATAAATATAGTTCAACCCTGGAAGAAAGACACACACACTTTGTATAACATGACATTTGAATGCTTGATAGGAAATATAAAAAGGTATAAAAATATGAAATCCAACACGACTAAGACTGGTTCATCCCAAAGATCCATTCCCCTGGCACAAACAGAGTAATATTGTGTATGCTGTTCAGTGTCAGGAGGGTGATCAGTCTTACATCGGGGAAACAAAACAGCCACTGGCCAAAAGGATGGACCAGCAGAGAAGATCAACATCATCAGGCCAGGACTCTGCGGTCTACACTCATCTCCAGGCCAGAGGTCACTCTTTCAGGGATGAAGATGTTCACATCCTGGACAGAGAGGAACGATGGTTTGAGAGAGGAGTAAAGGAGGCCATCTTTGTGAAAAGAAATTGTCCATCATTAAACAGGGGTGGAGCCTCCAGGTTCAACTGTCCCCCTCTTACAATGCTGTGATTGCTAGTATCACTCAGCCCTCTGTGAACAGTACACAGCCATCAGGTGCTAATGATCCATTGTTAGGCTGATGGTCCTTCTTGAGCATGTGATCAGCTGGTTCTGGTTGTCAGCAGCAAACTGGTTGATCCACTTTGAGAAGGTGCTATTTAAGAGACTGAGCTGAATACAGCACCTCAGACTGAGGAAGTCCTCAGGATGAAACGTTTCTACTTTTTTGTTGTTGTTTTTTGTGCCCTGAGACAACTTTGTTGTGACTTGGTGCTATATAAATAAACTGAATTGAATGTCCACAAGACCAGGCTTAACTTTTTGAGATATTTTACCTGGATTATTGAGCATGCATCAGGATATTGAGAACCCAACCCAAAACCCAGATCCCCCCCCCCCCCCCCCCCCCAAAATAAAAGCGCATTGGTGGGCCAGACTGAAGTGGCCCGCGGACCGCCAGTTGAACAGCCCTGATCTACAGTATTTTTGGACATGTCTAAGATCGTTACTTAGAACCTAATTTTAGAGACCTTGAAGATCTTGTTAGATCAGTTAGTGCTCAGAATACATGTTTGGGATCAGTTTCAGCTACTACCACACCAGATTCCAGATCAACATCTGTCAAACTGTAAGAGATTAAACCATTTTAGGATTTTTAAAGTCAGCTGTTGATGGAGTCATCTTGAATGCAGTTGACTCCAACACTTAATCAACTGTCCATATACATAAAATGATTGCTTTCTACAAGTTTCATGAAAAGCTTCTCCATTAGATGATGAGATGTTTTAGCTACAGGATGTCACAAAAACAGAATCGTCCACCTTCACCTTTTCCAGAGTTTTTTTAAGCTTCACAGAAAGCCCATCTCTGTTTGAAAGCAGAAAAATGAAAGATTAAGGAAGTTCAAAACAGTGAGAGCACAAATACTTTGTGGAAAATGTAGGTAATGAGATTCCCTGAACCTGCTGTGATCTCATTCTGAAACAAAACTACAAGATGAGCTCCTTCAGTAACTGGAAGTTAACGATTCAACATCTGGCCCGTGTTCTGCAGAAGAACTCATTACACCAGGACCTGAAGCTCCACTGAGGCAGCAGAAAAGTCTGTGAAGTAAAGTCTTCGAGAGTGAAATCAGAGTGAATCAGGAACCAAACCAAAATCTGGATTAAAACTGCAGCAGGAGATCCTCCTCCAACCCTCTGGTCTCCTTATGGATCAAGTTTCCTCCTGCTCCAACGGCCCCCCTTCCCCTACTCCAGACCTGCTGTGTCATTATGGAAGGAGGGACTTTTAAATTTTTTTTTAATCTTTGAAGGAGGTGTGCTTTCTCAGCTTCCCTAAACGTGAGCAGCAGCGGGGTGAAGAGGGTGCCCCCCCGCACCCAGTCCATCCAGCTCTCAGCACCTCCCAGTTCTTTAAGCTCCCATATAAAAGCCCTGGTGGAAAATGAGTGCAGGCAGTAGGGAGTTTTCTGCTGGGGTCAGGAGGACTTTGGACAGACGCACGGATCCTCCCCCAAACACCCGTGTATGACTGGAGTGTAGCAGAAAGAGAAAACATCCCCAACTTTTTCCTCTCTTGCCTCAAAGAGTCTACATGTCTGGTGGCATCTAGACATGTTCAGCTTTGTGGATTTGCGGCGGGTGCTGCTGCTCGGTGCAGCTGTGCTCCTGGTCAGGGCGCAGGGCGAGGATGACCGTAAGTTCCATCACTGCTTCTTGGAGCTCTCCTTTTTTAAAAGCTGTTGTTCTGAAGGCTGGAAAGAGTCTTGCCTCTGTCTGGTCTCGTGGCTGCTGAGACCTTCGAGAGAGGAGAGAAAAGAGATGAGTTAGAAGGTTGATGGTCTGTAGACCGACAGAACAGGGTTTGTGTGAGGAGCTGGGCATCTAGACACGGCCTCCACCTTTCTCCTCCTGGTGTTTGTCTCGCTCCCTCCTCCTCCCACCTCCCAGAGATCAGCAAGTTGTTGCACGTTCTTTAACATCTCCAGGGGATGCAATAGTTTGAACAGATCCTACTATTAAAAACCTAAAGCAAGAGATTATTATTTTTGATCAGTTAAGATGTTATTTGTCGGAGGGGAAGCGTCTCACAGACCTGAGGCGGAACACTTGATCAGAGGAGTCTTAAGGAGACAAAAGAGGAGTTGAGTCTTATCCACAGGACATATCTCAGAGCTCAAACCATAGGTAAACCAGTGATGATGGGTTTAATCCTCTAAAAGGATGAAAACCCCACCCAGCTCAGTTCAGGGGACACATGGAAGTGAAACTCATTTTTGCCAGATGTTATAGTCCAGAGTGAACTATGTAAAGCAGATGTGCTCACAGTGACACACGGAGGCTCCTCCTGGCTCCTGCAGCCACATCTGTCTGCCACGTCCTCCCACACTTTCCACTTCCACCCTCCTCCCCGTCCTCTCCTCTTTTCCTTTTTTCCACTTCTTTTTTCCCCTTAATTGCAAACACATGTTTCCACTGACTGCTGCCAAGCCTGCAGCTTCTCTCTGAGCTCAGCACTTCGGCACGCTGGAAGATTTCTTAAACTGAGCCTGGACCAGTTTCAGGCTCAGTAAGGAAGAGCTTAGCAGCAGCGCCCCGGAGTTGTGTAAACTCTGTGAAACCAGAGAGTTCAAGTGTGAACCTGGACTCTGGTTCTGGACTGTGGTGACCTCTCTGACACCCCTGACCCTCTAGTCCAGTTCCTGCCCTGATCCATCTGAACTCCCAGTTTAATTGTTTACTCACTGTGGATTTGACCACTTTTACCTGTTTATTCAAAGGTCTGTCCTAAACTAAAATACCTGGAATATTATTGATAGATAATTAATGACCAAAACTTAAAGTTTATTTTAAGAAAATAATCTAATGTAGTGTTAAATAATAATAAATTCAAAGCATCTTAACATCAATCAGCACGTCAGCATCAAGTTTTTCTGGGTTGTATTTCATATTTTGAGTCGTTTGAGGTTGAGCTGATCCATGTAAGCGTGGATTTGTGTGAGTCTGTCGATGTGGTCCAGTTCCTCAATCCCCGCACCCCCCCATGTCCCTTCCATCAGGCACCAGTACCAGCTGCACCTTGGACGGACAGGTGTTTGCGGACAGGGATGTGTGGAAACCAGAACCGTGTCAGATCTGTGTGTGTGACAGTGGTACAGTGATGTGTGACGATGTCCACTGTGATGAGCCGACCGACTGCCCAAACCCCATCGTCCCCCATGGAGAGTGCTGCGCCATCTGCCCTGACGATGGTAAACCCCGCCCACCAACCTTTACCTTTTATAAAACCAAAACATACAAATTTTATAAACATGTATTTATTTTTCAGGCTACCAGGCTGCTGAGGTTGAGGTAAACAACATTTTTATTTTACAACCATAAATATGATTTTTGATAAGCCTGAGCTCGAGTTGATGGTATGTATTTTATAAACGGTGTTTTAAGAACTTCTGTTGTCATAGAAGGTCCAAATGCATCTGACTCATCAAATCAAGACAATAAATGTCTTTGTTGTGTTTTTGCAGTTTGAATGAGATAAAAACTGTTTGTTTTTTCACCACAGGGACCCCGAGGAGACCGTGGACCCAAAGGAGAGAGGGTAGGTCCACGTTCTGGCCCGTTTTCTGGGTTAACAGCATCGTACTGAAGGTCCAGCTCGGAGACTGGTTGGCTTGTTTGTGTTGCTGTGATTTAGCTCACACCGACATTAAAACAAGACAAACCACAAGCCTTTGTCTGGCTTTAGTTCCTCTGCGCAGCCTTCCACGCCCCATTCAAACAGATGCTTTTGTTCTTTTCTTAAATTTGCTCTGAAGATTTTGAATTTTCTGGACTGAGTGATTTTCTAAAACACATAAACTGAAATGATAACTGATGAGGTCAGCTGAATTTCTCCACAACACGAGATAAAAACACAGTTTTATCTGTTTGTCCAGAAGATTTGCACTCATTATTATCTCCACTGTTTTTAACCAGTTGTTCTATTTTTCCAGCCAAATTTCATTCAACATTTATTTTTACCCAATAAAACCAGTTATATATAGCTCAGTGTAGGCTTCTATGGGACTTCAACATTAACTTGTAATTTAATATTTTAGATGATTTTTATCTAAAAGCTGGACCTGAAGCTTTATTAATATCCATTATTTCAAAATTGAATGTGTTCATTCACTGCTGCTGATCTTGATGCTGTCATGTGAATCCTTACGTAAGTCGCCAATGTCCTCGTCCACTTCCTGTATGTTGACGTCACATGACCCCTGCTTGTCCGGCTGTGATTACTTGAAGGGCCGTGGAGGAGTAAACTCCATGTTACTGATGCTTCTTTCACCTCTGAGTCTGAGAAAATGGGAGAAAAAAAAAACAGAAGCTGAGATTCAAACACAAAGCAATGACAAGTTGTGGTTAGTTGGTTTTGGACGTGGACATCTTAGTAGGACAGCCCTAACCCAGCTGACACCTCCTCCACCTCCTCTGTCTGCAGGGCCCCCCTGGTCCCCCTGGTAGAGATGGTCTTGACGGCCAGCCTGGACTTCCTGGACCTCCCGGCCCTCCTGGACCTCCTGGCCTCGGGGGAGTAAGTTGTTCATTTTTGTGTTTTCCATATTTTTCTATTTGAGGTCCCAATAATGGAGTTCTGACCCAGTGTGCACCAAGATAAGGTTGGTTTGATGAACTATCTGTGTCTTTTCTGTGAGTCCCTCTGCCAGCATTCACATTGCTCTGAGGTGTTTGGTAGAAGGCCAAATGGCATACATTTTTAAAAAGTCCTTCCTTATTTGGATTCTTTACAAATACACTCAGTGTTGAAATGAAGCTCATCTTCTAATAAACGATTCAAAAATCCACCGTAGACTTTAAATTAAGACCTGCGGTCAGAAGTTGTTTCAGGTGCAGCAGAGAGAAAACTAAAACAAGTGAAGGGGCTGATTTTACTCTCGGACTTTAAGCGTTGTAGTTTTTAATTACTATTTCAGAGTTTCACACAAATTACAAACAACCGTCACCCTCCGGATCACGTCAGAAATAACAGTTTCTACTTAGGTTGTTTCTGCTCAGTCTTTTTAACAAGCTAGCATTTCAGTGACCTTTGACCTCTGAGCTGGGCCTGAAGACTCCCCCACCAGAACAGCAGCTGCAGGTCACTTAGCATTAGCTAACTGCTAATGCTCAGTGAGCATGCTAACTACTGTTAGCTGTTCTCAGATCTACATGTTCACTAATGAGTGTGTGACTGATGGAGCAGAGGTGAAAACAGCAAAGGTCATGACCTCAAAAGTCAGAACCATGCTCGCCTGCGTCAGCCATGTTGGATTTTGACGCTGGGCGAATTTGAGGCAGTTCTGAGTTCTGGGTGCAGGTGGGACACAGCACCAGTTAAAAACTTCTGATTTGACTGTTTATTTCAGTCATGCAGCTCTCAGGATCATATCCCAGCTGTAGATAACAGCCCAAGAGCAGTTTGGAAGACAGACTAACATTCAAGGATTCAAGGTTCATTATTTGTCATTCGCACCTCATGTGGTACATGTGGTGGAATGACATTATGTACACAGGGTCCCAGTCACATCCAACAATAAAATGCAAAAGAAAAACAATGATAACATCTAAGATATGAACTAAGAAAGACATCAACTAAATATACACTAAGCAGAAATAGTATAAAAACATTACGTTGAACAGCAGCACGAACATGAGTCTGTGTGAGCAGATGAGCACGCATGAACACATCAACATGAAACAGATCAGCAGCAACATGAAACAGATCAGCAGCAACATGAAACAGATCAGCATCAACATGAAACAGATCAGCAGCAACATGAAACAGATCAGCAGCAACATGAAACAGATCAGCAGCAACATGAAACAGATCAGCAGCAACATGAAACAGATCAGCAGCAACATGATGTGATTTTTGTCACAGTGATTATCCTGATATTCATGAGTCTAACAGCCTCAGGGTAGAAGCTTCCCAAAGCTCATTAAAACTTCTGATATAATGCACAGTTTTAACATGTGTAACTTCTAACTTTGCGTTGTTTTACATCCTTCAACTCATCATTCACTGATTCCCACTCAAATAATTTACACAAAATGTATGTCTAAACCAATCCCTTTCATCATTTACTGCAGTGTGAAAAGTAGATCACAACTCATGCAGGGTTTCTATGATCATCCACACAAGTATTGACCTTTTAGTTGTTTTTGGATTGTTTTCTATAACATGAATATGGCTTATAAAAAAACAAAAGTCCTCTTTAGGTTTTCATACAACTCCAAACTTAGAAGAGTCAGTTTGACAAAAGAAACAGCTTCATTTTGTTATAAAAGTCTCTAGCTCTACATTATCGAGGAGTTTTATGAACAAAAGAGGTCGATGGGAGATGTCCCTCTTCTTAACACATTTGTATTTGTTTTCCAGAACTTCTCCCCTCAGATGTCTGGTGGCTACGATGAGAAATCTCCTTCAATGCTTGTGCCTGGACCCATGGTAGGACAGACAGAAATACATAGGATTTATAATACTATAATGTTAACAAGTATTAGATACTCCTGTAACTCATGTACATGTCACATCCTGTAACGTCTATCTATCTATCTATCTATCTATCTATCTATCTATCTATCTATCTATCTATCTATCTATCTATCTATCTATCTATCTATCTATCTATCTATCTATCTATCTATCTATCTATCTATCTATATTCATATATCTATAAATATTAAATAAAAAGTTAGATAGATGGATATGTAAGTTTGTATGTATTTGTAACATCAGCTCTATTTGATTGACAGGGCCCAATGGGACCTCGTGGACCTCCCGGACCTGCTGGTTCTAGTGTGAGTGGCACTTTTCTTTCCTTTCTCAGAAATATGATCAAACCTAAAATGATTTGATGAGAATAATTATTCCACCTCCACCCAGGGAACATGAATTATTTCCTTCAGACAGACACGCTTCCCTTTATTTGTCTTAAAAATTACAAAAAATGTACTTTTCTGATGATGATCTAAAGGCATCTGTGAAAACAATATTGTCAAAAGTAATTTTAGCTGAGTGTTAATTTAAATTATGAGCTCATCTGTAACAATTCAGTTCAATTCAGTTTATGTCTATAGAGCCAAATCACAACAAAGTTGTCTCAAGACACTTTACAGAAACATTCACATACAAAGAAAAAACACTTAGTAAAGTTGTCTATCTAAGGAAGCAGCAGACTCGTTGAATCTTTATTTCATCACAGTCTCCCATCCTGAGCAAGCACAGTGGCAACAGTGGAAAGGAAAACTCCCTTTAACAGGAAGAAACCTCCAGCAGAACCACGCTCAGGTCAAGTGGCCGTCTGCTTTGACCGACTAGTCTAGATGAAGGGGATGTAGAGTAAAATATTTTTTATGTCAGTTCCCGGGTCAGTTAGAGGCAAGAAATGACTTTTTGTTTTATTTTTCATTTTTGAACAGATCTCTGGGAGTTTGGAAGTCATGGAATACTTTAAATGTTTCTGAGCTTCAAACATTTCTTAGTAAATACTCTAAAGAATATACTATAAAGGACCATTTATTTATTCCATCCAGTATCTTCCGCTTGTTCTTAAGTCAGGTCTTGGGGGCAGCATCTTGAGCAGGGAGGTCCAGACATCTCTCCACAGCCACCTCTTCCAGTTTTTCTGGGAGGACTAAGGGGTTCCCAGGCCAACCAAGAGACATAGTCTCTCCAGCATGTTCTAGGTCTTTCCTTGGGTCTCCCCCCAGTTGGACATGCTCAAAGCACTTCCCTAGGGAGGCGCCATGGGAGCATCCTTACCAGATGCCTGAAAAACCTCAAATTGCTCCTCTCGGTGTGGAGGAGCAGCGGTTCTATTCTGAGGCTCTCTCGCATAACTGAACTTCTCACCCTATCTTTAAGGGAGAGTCCAGCTCCCCTGCAGAGGAAACTCATTTCAACCTCCTGTATCCATGATCTCATTATTTTGGTCACTAGCCAGAGCTTGTGATCATAGGTGAGGGTAGGAACATAGACTGACCGGTAAACAGAGAGCTTTGCCTTACAGCTCAGCTCTTTCTTCACCACAATGGACCATTACAGAGTCCACAATACTGCAGATGTTGCACCAATCCATCTGTCAATCTCACGCTCCATTCTTCCCTCACTGTGGACAAAACCCTGAGATACTTGAACTCCTCCACTTGAGGCAGAACCTCACCCTTGACCTGAAGAGAGCAATCCACCCTTTTCCTATTAAGGACCATGGCCTCAGATTTGGAGGAGCTGATTCTCATCCCAGCTGCTTCACACTCGGCTGTGAACCGCTCCAGTGAGAGCTGAAGATCACGGCACAATGACACCAACAGGACCACATCATCTGCAAAGAGCAGAGATGAATCCTGAGACCACCAAACTGGGCTCCCTCCGCCACCTGGCTGCACCGAGACTATATTGTATTGTAATTCTTTATATTAAATCATCAAAGTGTCACAGTAAAATGTGTTAAAACATTTAATGAGCATAAAAGTCTTCGGCAGTACTGCGAGCAGCTGAAGCTTTTCGATATATCAAATAGATTTTGTTTGCACATGGGATCAAACAGAGAAAACCAAAAGTGTGAGAAATATGAAGAACTGAATCTGAATCTGTTAGCAAGTTCCCTGACACAGACTCTCTGTGTGTGTTTGTGTCTACAGGGACCTCAGGGACCCACAGGCCCTCCTGGTGAGCCTGGCGAGGCCGGAGCTCCTGTAAGTATCAAAGACATAAAAATAAAAATTCTGCTGTTTTTTTAAAGAGTTGTTGCCCAGCTGACTTTAACTGTTTCTCTTCAGGGTCCCATGGGTCCACGTGGACCTGCTGGTCCTTCTGGAAAGAATGGAGAAGACGTAAGTGGACTGCACCAGCTGTTGTTTCGGTTCTCTGTTTCAATAATGTCATGGTTCTCTTCTCTCCTCCATCAGGGTGAGGCTGGAAAATCTGGTCGTGCTGGTGAGCGTGGACCTCCCGGAGCACAGGTAGATCCCTGGGTGTTTTTTTAATTGTCAGGTAAACAATAGAACAGCCAACATAACATTGTTTGTTTTCCTCAGGGAGCTCGTGGTTTCCCAGGAACCCCTGGACTGCCCGGCATCAAGGGACACAGAGTAAGTTCTGTCCAATCAACCCAAAAGCATCCCCTTGTTATCCAGGTACCTAAAATCTGTATCTCTATCCTTCTTCAGGGATTCAGTGGTCTAGATGGTGCTAAAGGAGACACTGGCCCTGCTGGACCAAAGGTGAACCCCCACCTCTGTGATCTGCTGCTTCCTAACCATGTTCAGCTGTTTTAGTAGAAACTGGAGGAGTAACAGCTTCTTAGTTATAGTGAGTAGTAGTGAGTAGTACTGATATCTATATGCTAAGATCAGGTTCTGATCTGACTGCAAATCCTAACATGAACCTGTGGTTCTGCTCACAGAACACAGCTGAACACAAACACCAAGAAGCTGAAGATTCAGAGATGCTCTGATCTTAGACTGAACTCAGGTTTATTAGACTCCACCAATGATACCTAGAATGGCCTAAAGTGGGTGGATGTTGTGTCTGAAAGAGCTGCAGTCAGAGGAGCGATAGACCTCCAAACAAAGAGTTACTGAATGAGTCTCTGCCCACGGCAGCCACCTTGGTCCTTCAAGCTGAAGGCGTAGTTTTGTCTCCTTCCTGTCCTCACCTGCCTGTGTTTCTTTGCACCGTCAGGGCGAGGCTGGAGCCCCCGGTGAGAATGGAACCCCTGGAGCAATGGTGAGTACAACGATGATTCACACAGATCAGGTCGGACCTCCCCCAGCTGATTCACGGTAAACCTGATTGGTTGTTGTGTTCTTCAGGGACCCCGAGGCTTGCCTGGTGAGAGAGGTCGCACCGGCGCTCCTGGATCTGCCGTGAGTCCACACAAACACACGGCCAGCTCTCGTGTTGTTGCTGATCAGTAATCAATAATCGGTGATGTGTGTGTGTGTGTGTGCTGCAGGGAGCTCGTGGTAACGATGGTGCTGCCGGTGCTGCTGGACCTCCTGTAAGTCTAATTCTCCAACCGCTGAATTAAAGTAAAAACAATATATATACACACACTCACATATACATATATATATATATATATATATATATATATATATATATA